CCGGGGCCCCCCCGGGGGCCCCCCGGGGGCCCCCCCCGGGGGCCCCGCTGGTGGGGTTTGAAGTGCCGGCCGAGGAGGCGGGGAAGAGCGCGGCAGCCGTGGGGGCCCTGAAGGCGGAGAAGTTTTTCTGGGATCGACGATCCCGATCCCAGAGAGCGTGTGGGGTGTTGGAGCGGGGCCTGCGGGCCCTGGGGGAGTACTGCTGGGACCCCGGAGTTACCCTTTTGCTGCTGCAGGGGGGCCCCCCTGCTGCAGCAAAAGGAGAAAAGAAAGTTCTGGAGGCCCTCGGAGAAGTTGCGGAGAGTCTGGAGAGTCACCCGGACCACCGGGTGTACGTACACCTCAGCGCCCGAGTGGTCCACTGGTCACGCGCGCAGCTGGAGCTGCCGCGGCTGCACTCGCCGCTGGCTTTTGCTGCAGCAGGCAGCAGCAGCAGCAGCAGCAGGCGGGGCGAGCCTGCTGCTGCTGCGCTGCTGCAGCACGTGCTGCAGCTCGACGCGCAGCTAAAACTCCAAACAGCAAAACTCAGCGCTGGCCTTTCGCCCCAAGACATTTATTCTCCCCACTTCGACAAGCTCGTGGCCCTCGCCCTCACTGCCAGGCAGTACCCCCTCCCCAGAACTGCGGGGTAGCAGCAGCAGCAGCAGCAGCAGCAGCAGCAGCGGCAGCAGCAGCAGCAGCGGCGGCGGCGGCGGCGGGGTAGCGGCAGCAGGGGCAGCGCGGACGCGGCAGCAGCAGCAGCAGCAGCAGCAGTAGCAGCGGCAGCAGTACGGGCAGCAGCAGGGACCCGGGGGAGGCGTCCGCAGCGCTTCACCGCAGCAGCAGCAGCAGCAGCAGCATTTCTTGCTGCTGCTGCTGCTGCTGCTGCAGCGCTTCTTGGCTTGAAGCGGGGCTCACTGCCGCCCAAGCAGGCAGCTGGGGCAAGGATGTAGAGGGGGGCCCCCAAGCAGGGGGGGCCCCCCAAGCATAGGGGGGCCCCCAAAAGCAAGGGGGGCCCCCAAATGCAGAAGGGGGCCCCCAAAAGCTGGAAGCTAAACCCTGCACCGCAGGTGAGAGTCAGGCAACTAAACGGGGGGGAAGGGGGCCCCCGAAGGAACCCTTTGGGGGCCCCGGGAGGGGCCCCTTTGGGGGCCCCTTGGGGGCCCCTCGGCCCTCTGTAGGGGCCCCCGTTGGGGCCTCCACGGGCCTTTATTACAGATATTTGCTCATTGTAGGGGGCCCCGTCTACAAATCCAGGTCATGGTGGGCCCTCCGCTCTTTTGGGGGCCCCCTGGGGGCCCCTAACAGCTTTAGGGGTACCCCAGTTTTTACCCTTAACTTGCCGCTCTATTTTTTCGTACTAAAAGCCCTAGGGGGGCCCCAGGGGCCCCCTAGAGGGGCCCCAGGGGCCCCTTTAAGGGTCTTGTCTCTGTCTTTGCGGGTGAACGAGGGGGGCCCCTTGGGGGCCCCTTAGAGGGCTGGCCCCTGGGGACCTTCAGGGGGCCCCCAGGGGCCCCCGAGAGCCAGCTGAACCCTTTTATTGGGCTGGGCAACTAGGGCCCCCTAGAGGGGCCCCCCCGAGTCTGAACTGCTGGGGGGGCCCCTCACTCTGCGTTTTCTCTAGTTTGTTTGCGCAATTAGACTCAACAAAGTGCTCAGGAAACAATGTCCAAATAGGGTCAAATGTGACATTGAAAAGGTCCCCAGGGGGCCCCTAGGGGCCCCCAGGGGCCCCCAGGGGCCCCCGGGGGCCCCCAGGGGCCCCTGGGGGCCCCTAGGGTACTTTCCCCCTAGGGGCTCGAGTGCGACCGGGGCCGCCCACATTGCTTGCCTGCGCCCCGCCTGGACTGGGGGCTGTGGGGCCCCTCTGCTGCTGCTGCTGCAGCAGCAGCAGCAGCAGCAGGAGCTGTTGCTGGTGATGAGGGGGCCCCCGTCTTGCTGAGGGGCCCCACAGGGCTGCCTGAAGTCAAGGTCTTCCTGAGGCCCTCCATATTGTCTCCTGCATGCAGCTGCGGCAGCTGCTGCTGCTGCTGCTGCTGCTGCAGCGGCTGCTGGTAGGGGCCCCCGAAGAGGGGGGCCCCGCTGCCCCAGCTGTACTGCGAAAAGGGGGGGCCCCCCAGCGGGGGCCCCATTGAGGGGGCCCCCACTATCCCAGACCGCCGCCGCTGCAGTACCCAACGAATTGCATCAGCAGCACCTTTAATAAAGTGCACAGCCAGCGCGGGTTGCTGCTGCTGGGGGGCCCCCAGGGGGCCCCCCCCTAGGGGGCCCCCCCCTAGGGGGCCCCCCCCTAGGGGGCCCCCCTGGGGCTGGCCAAAGAGCCCCGGGGGGCTGCGGGGGCCCCCCGGGGGCCCCAGGCTAGGTGAGCTGGGGGCCCCCAAAAGGGGCCCCTGAGAATGAATACTGTCTGGAGGAGAAGAAGCTGGAGAGGCTGCTGCTGCGGCCAGGGGGGCCCCCTGAGTAGCAGCAGGGGGGGCCCCCAAGAGGGTCTGGGTCTGCACAGGGGGGCCCCCCGGAGGGTACTTGGGCCCCGACCGCCACTCCCCCAAAGCAAAGCAACCCCTATCTTGGGGGCCCCCGGGGGGCCCCCAAAAGGGGTAACTAAGGCTAGAGCTGCTGCTGGGCTGCTGGCCTACATGGGGGGCCCCCTGGGGCCCCTCGCTGCGGTGCAGCACAGAGCGCTCCGCAGCCTGCGAGCAGCAGCAGCAGCAGCAGCAGCAGCAGCAGCAGCAGCAACAGCAGCAGGAAAGCAGCGAGGAATATGAGCTGAACTGCAGCACCTAGTGAGCACTCTGGGGAGAAGGGCGCGTGCAGCAAAGTTCGGAGGGTGGGCTTACTACGCTTGCAAAGCGCTGCTGCTGCTGCTGCTGCTGCTGCTGCTGCTGCTGCTGCTGCTGCTGTTCCTGCTGCAGCTGCCGTTGTTTCTGCATCAGGAGCAGCTGCTGCTGCTGCAGCTGTTGCTCCTGCTGCAGTTGTTGCACGAAGTGGCCCTGGGCTCTTTCTGTCCCCTCCCGCGGGCCCATTTGCTGCAGCATTTGCTGCTGCTGCTGCTGCTGCAGGAGCTGCTGCTGCTGCTGCTGCTGCTGCTGCTGCTCTGGCGCACCCAGAGCCTCTTGGCAGCGCATTTGCCTCTCACTAAATTTCGACGCCGCAGAAATTGCAATAAGGGGCACCGTGGCCAAAACAGGGCCTGCACAGACAAGAGTAGAAACGTGCTGCTGCTGCTGCTGCTGCTGCTGCTGCTGCTGCTGCTGCTGCTGCTTCTGTTGCGGTCCGTGCTGCTGCTGCTGGTGCTACTGCTGCTACTGCTGCTGCTGCTGCTGAGGTCGCGGCAACGGGGCGCGGGAAGCTCCAGTCCCCGTAAAGCCTTTCAGGCGCTCGCCGGAGCTAGGGTTTAGGGTTTGGCGCCTAGGGTTTAGGGTTTAGGGTTTAGGGTTTACCGAGAATAATGCCCTTAAGCCCCAAAGTGGAAAGGCCCAGAGCCGCCGAAAGGCCCACCAGCCAAGGGCTGGCGTCGGGGATTTCTCTATAAATGCAAGTCGTCACGTTCCACCAGACCAGCCTGCAAACCCCAAACCCTAAACCCTAAACCCTAAACCCTAAACCCTAAACCCTAAACCCTAAGCCCTCTGGTTTGAGGGCCGGGAGCAGCGCGGCGTTGAGCAGGGCTCTGCGGCGTCCGCCGTGGCTGCGTGTTTGGGGTTTGCGCGGGGGGTTGAGGGTTTGCTGTCCAGCGTTTAGGGTTTAGGGTTTAGGGTTTAGGGTTTACGCGTTGGCTGCGAGGACTGCGAGGGCTGCGAGCCTGTGGGGCGCGGCGAGCCAGTGCCCCCAGCCGCCAGCAGCAGCAGCAGCAGCAGCAGCAGCAGCAGGGGCCCCTCCGCCGCCGGGCGCTGCTGCTGCTGCTGCTGCTGCTGCTGCTGCTTCCGCAGGCGAGCCTGCTGCTGCTGCTGCTGCTGCTGCTGCGTCGGAGTGCAGCCACAAAGCCACTGCTGGCAGCAGCGAAATAACTTCGGGCGGCAAAATCGGCAGCAGCGCCAAAAGCGAAGAAGCAGCAGTTGGGACGTAAACCACCGGCATTCCCGTGCTTTCGAAGATGAACCACGTGAACAGGCTGCGAAACCCTAAACCCTAAACCCTAAACCCTAAACCCTAAACCCTAAACCCTAAACCCTAAGCCCAGCCCTACCCCCAAGCGTCCAGCCCTCGTCCCCGCGTCCGCCGGCGCGGCGCGGCGCGCCGCCGCCTCGAAGGCCTAGGGTTTAGGGTTTAGGGTTTAGGGTTTAGGGTTTAGGGTTTGGGACCTGTAGAACCAGACTTTTTTGACGGAGGAGAAGAGAATGGCGCGGATTTTTTCGTTCACAGAAGCCGACAAAATTGCAGAAGAGTCCACCACGCAAAGGACTTCCTGCAGCACATCTAAAGAGCTGCGTTGCGAGCACAGCAGCGCGTACAAAGCCCCGAAAAACACCACCACCTGCAGCAGCAGCAGCAGCAGCAGCAGCAGCAGCAGCAGCAGCAGCAGTAGCAGCAGCAGCGGGGGCGGCGCAGGGGAATGCAGCGGTGGGTGGGAGAAGCAGCTGCGCGGCGCCCGCATCTCGGGGTACTGTGTTGCTGCTGCTGCTGCTGCTGCTGCTGTTGCTGCTGCTGTTGCTGCTGCTGTTGCTGCTGCTCCAAACCCTAAACCCTAAACCCTAAGCCCTAAACCCTCGCGCACCTGGAAGAGGAGGTCGAAGGCCGACAGAAAGAAGCGAAGAAGAAACGCCAGCACGAAGCAAAAGATCCTCCACGCCCCGAAGCTGCGCCGCAAACCCCAAACCCCAAACCCCAAACCCTAAACCCTAAACCCTAAACCCTAAACCCTAAAAGCGCGAGTTGCGGCCTTAATCTGGACCGTGCGGAGAAGACCGCGCGAAGGCCCGCCGGCGTCGCAGGCCCCTCTTCGCGAGCCGGCCGGCCCCCCACAGCTTAGGCCTTAGGGTTTAGGGTTTAGGGTTTAGGGTTTAGGGTTTAGGGTTTAGGGTTTACCCGGAGTTGAGGGCCCAGGCCAGCAGCGTGTGGGCGTGCTGCGAGAGGTAGCGCCACCAGGCCTCGCGCGTGAGGGCATAGACTTCTTGCGAAGCTTCCAAAGACCTTTTGAAAGCAGCAACAAAGTCTCCTTCCCGCAGCTGCTGCAGCAGCTGCTGCGTTTGCTGCTGCTGCTGCGTTTGCTGCTGCCCTTTCCCAAACATGTCGGGAAAAAACAAAGACAAAAAAGACCCCAGCCAGCCCCCCCTCTTCAGGCCCTCCCGCTGCACCTTCGCCCCTGCTGCAGCCCACAGAAACCCCAGCGGGGGCCCCCGGGGCTTCCAGGGGTCTATGCACGTCTCAGTCGTGCTGTCGTGCAGCAGCGCCAGAAAGGCGTCCGCGTGGGGCCCCCGGAGGGGCCCCCCGCTGCTGTCGGTTTGGCAGCTGGCGGGGACGAGGGGGGCCCCCAGCTTCTTTGTCTGCTTCAGTCTGCGCTGGCAGCGGCAGCAGCGGACACACGTCTAAGTCGGCTATGAGCTGCTGCGCTGCTTGCGAGAGGTCTGCAGCGCCCCGCTGCTGCTGCTGCTGCTGCTGCTGCTGCTGCTGCTGCTGCTGCGGCTTTTCGGGGGCCCACGCTTCTGCAGCAAACTCGGGCAGCTGGGGGGCCCCCGGGTCTGCGCGGAGGCCGGGGGGCCCCTCTGGGGTTTTGCTGGGCCAGGGGCGCGTTGCTCGGGAGGTGTCTGTGTCTGCTGCTGCTGCTGCTGCTGCTGCTGCTGCTGCTGCAGCGTTTGCTGCCGAGGACGCCGCAGCCAGCTCCTGTATCGCCCGCCACAAGTCCGAGTACCACTCGGGGCCGCCGCCCAGCAGCAGCGCAGCAGGCCCGCCGCTGCTGCTGCTGCTGCTGCTGCTGCTGCTGCTGCTGCTGCGGACGGCGGAAGCAGCTGCAGCGACGAATCCGGCGAGTGTGTTGGCGGTTTGGGGCGCGTTTGGGTCCGCAGCAGCAGCTGCTGCTGCTGCTGCGGCCGGGGGCGCCGCAGCAGCAGCAGCAGCAGCAGCAAAGCCCTGCTGCTGGTTGAGCAGCAGCCCCGAAAGCCGCTGGAAAGCCTCAGCCAGCCCCGCAGAACCCAAGACACGGGCTTCCCATAAAGCTGTGACTTCTGCGTAAATCTCGAAGCAAAAGAAAACAGAAATTGAAAAACTAATTAAAAAAGAAATTAAAATCACCAAAAGACAAACCACAGGCCGCGCGCATGCAGCCACTTCCACTGACACGCGCCCCGCGCACACCCGCCACCCGCCGCAGCCCCGCTGCCGCCTGCGCACACGCAGCAGCAGCAGCAGCAGCAGCAGCAGGAG